TTAAGAAGTTACACAATATAATTCCAAGATCGTCACTATGTGACAAATGTGATAAAGAGAAATTCCACTATGCTGATAACGAATTGATTGATTATCTTCATAAAATACCCTCATTTTTGATATAACTTCCACAAAGAATAAATAGGTAAAACAAATAGTATACGATGGAAACATATTATTATCTTGCTTATTATCTTGTTATTGATTTCCTTCAACCATAGTTCAACACAACTTTTACCACTTACATTTCTTGAAAATTATTGTTTCTATTTATTTTTATATATTTTATATATTTTATAAGTGATGGGAAAATTTTTATAAGAGATGGAAAAACTACTTTTGACTTTACAATTTTTTTTGAAATAACCCTCCAACAATAAAAATTTTTTTTATTGCTATATATGATTGGATACATGCTGAAAATGGATTTTGTGTTAATTTTCATCTCGCGAAAACTAGTTTTTGGTGCAGCTATTACTACTATGTTTAGCGAGTGACTTAAAAAAGAGGTTCTGGAATTATTTTATTCTTGCTGATCATATAAAAAAAACACATGACTACACTCTACCCTTAATAAGCAAGCATGTGCACAAATTATTTTTATTAATAAAATTTATTAATTAATTAATTAGTTATAATCATCTTCACCAAAACACCTTTCACCTTGTGAACCTTGATCATTACCCCACCATTCAGGAAATGGTACTTTAATAACACCATTCAAACAAAAAAATATAACCATTGTCACAATTTGTGCAGCACTATCGAATGAAGCCGACATCACGTAGTTGTATCTAGAGAAAAATTTTATTTTAAAATAATTAATGCAAAGAAATAATTAACACAATGATTTACAATTACTTACTTTGTCCACCATCTAAAAAAAAAATTTTTTTTTAAATTATGCACCAAAAAATATTAAAAAAGTTTACTAAAAAAAAAAGAAAAAAAATAGTTTACTTGTTTTTATATCTGTAGGCATAATACTGACTAAGGAAACTTGTTATGAACCCCATTATAATAAAATTTGTATAATACCCAGGTAATAGGTGTAGTCCGCTACAAATCAATGGTACGTTCACCAAATCGAATCTGACTTTTGGAAATTTTCTATGTAATAGGTAGAATGGTGCCGGGGCTAAGAATCCAATTAAAAAACCCCATAATAATGGGTGATATAATGACTGAGACTATATATATTTGAATTTAAATTTGAATTTGTATTTAGTAGTTGAGTTAATGAGCAATGATAACACTAAAATGATATTCTTACACCAAAAGTTCTTGCAGGCCCAATTAATCCCCATACAATGGACGCAGTATTAAAGACTTGTGAATGGTAACCTGTCCACTATTAACAAAGTTCAAAAGATATAAACTAATATTATTTTATTTCACAAAAATAGCAATAGCTCAATTAGAAAATTCATAAGAAAAACTTACCTGACCAGTTGGATCTTTTA